ACAGCTTAGCCACTTTTTTGTTTTTTGTAGGCACCAAGATAATTTTTTGAATTAGATTTTTTGACGTTTTGATTATTTTGATCGGTGGACCCTTACAAAAGTATAAAAGTAATAAAGGAACGGACACATTCGGACTTTACGTCCTCTTTAAAGGTCTCTCTTGTTTACCATGCCAGTAAATATGAGTGAATTAGACTTTGGGGCTTGTTGTTTCTGTAAAATGAACTGAATGATTGAATTGTGGAGAATCTAACCATTTGTATCATGTCCATACTGACAAAAGTTTAAACACGCATATTTCTATTCACAATCTAAGCAGCTTCGAACTAGCAAAAGCGGGTGACGCAGCGTTTTTTAAGAGGTTTTATACATCCAAAGAACTTCTATAAAAACCAGACAAGATGTCTAATTGAGACCTGCATTTATTTTTAAAAACGTGTACCCACACCAGGCCAGTAAAGGCCTAGATAGGCGGCTATTTGTGACTTAGATTTTAATTCAAGTTTTACAGTAATAGTTAATTAAATCTATGTTTCATAAACCTAAATTTAAGACCTTTAAATACTCCCTTTTTAATGCCAACAAAGTGTAATGACAAGTCTCATAGTTTGGAGGTTAAATTAGGAGAAGAGGAACAACATTCTAACTAATTAATTAAAATTTGTTCTTGACATTTTAAGACATGTCCACTTCACATTTCCCCGTCCTCCCATACGTACTGTTCCCAGGTAAGGATAAGGGTCCTCGGAGTCCAGCCCCCCATTGTCCTTGACGTACTGGAAGGCCTGGTCCATCAGACCGCCATTGCAGCCCTCGTTGCCCTCGGGTCTGGAACAGTCCACCAGGTTCTGCTCGCTCAGCGACACCTGTTTTCCTGTCTTCCTGAATTGCTGACCCTCCAGAGCTCCGGTGGCACTGAAGGCCCAGCAGGAGCCACAATGACCCTGAGAGGGAAGGGGATAAAAGTTATACAGAGTTAAACATCAACCGTACAAGTTATTTTTGCTCTTAATCACTGCTGCATATTTATCATATTTCACATTTTTGTGTCCCTTTCTGATGTCGGCCATTTTGTTGCTGTTATTCTCTTCTGCATGGCCCTGAACCGCTGAACAACGTAGAGTTGATGGTGTCAGTAACGTTTTCCGTTTTCAAATCCTGCCTCAAACTCAATTTCACATTACAACATGTTGTAATGTCACAAATAAATCTACCTCGTAAAAACATTTTACACCATCATCTTGTCGACAGACTACCAGTAGTTTTGCAGTTTCCTACGGCACCCCGTATCTTGTTATTAAAGTTATGTTGTACATCGCACTCCAGCATTTCTACACAATGTAGCCTACATATTTGCTTTACCCTGACCTGGTTTACTGTGAGCTGGTCAGACTGGTTTCAGCTTACATGTATACACAGCGTATGCCAAGGGGGTGGAGAGAACAGATAGCCTACACACTTCATCCCGTTATACAACCCTGTGTTGTAAAATGATAAATAAATCTACCTCATACCATAAAAACAATTATATTCAGAGTAGTGGGTTGTTTGTGTGCTTTACATGGTGATTTTACAATTTGAGAATCCAGAGTTAAAAATATCTTCTGTTGTACTGCCTCGATGACTTTGAACAATCCTGTCACATGAGACATAAAAGCAGTCGTTACCTGGTCCTTCACCGGAGTGACGTAGCCGTTTTCCCTCCAGTCCACAGAGTTTGGGGCTTCCAGGAAGTTGGGCTTCATGAACAGAGATCCCTTGATCTTCCTCTCTGATTTGTACGTGTAGCCGTTCATGACCTGCCTGAACTCCTCGTTAGTCTGTGGAAAGACAAAGGTTAAGTGAGTAAACGACAGTAAAACCTGAATTAGGCTACAATAAGACCTGAGGAGAAAAGGCAACAAGCAGCTGTGGTTTGTCATTGTGTGTCTTTAGCAGCAGACTTTGATGGATGCAGTTCATCTAAACCTGATTTACACTAAGCAAAAAAATTTTAAGTAAATGTCACTGCAGTTCTCTCAAATTTCCCCCCGGTTTTATTATCATTGTACGTCCCACACCAGATTGAATCAGTTGTTCTCATGTTTTTCCTTTATTCCTCGATTTGTGTTGGACAAGTGCTTTCTGAATATTTATAATTTATCCTTTATTAGAGGGTACACATTCACGATTCAAACATTAGTTTACTCTTGTTGTTGTACTGTTTAATTTGCTGTTACCAAATCAATTTTTATAAAGTCTGTGCGTTGACACCGGGGTCTTACCATGTCTCCGAAGTGGTTCATGCCCAGGCGGTAGGTGTGTTTGCCCAGGGAGTGCTCCAGGTTGTGCAGTTCGATCTTCTTCAGGTTCTTCTCCCACACCATTCTCCTCCAGCCCTCCTCCTTCTACAAATAAACAACCACCATTCAGACCTTTCCCTGATACCTGGCAGGCTAGAAAAGCGTGCAGGAAAGAAAAGAAAGAAACAACACTTCACCTCATGATATTTCTTTGTGTGCCAGCTCTTCCACAGGTCCCAGTGTTGATCCAGCTGTCGGTCCAGGCTGGGGGCTGAGAGGGCTGCACTCAGACACACAACAAACACAGCTAGAGGCAGCATCCTGGCTTCCTACTGGAAAACAACAACAAGACAACAAAACAAGTTAGGACTCACTGCTGGACGCCTGAAGCTCTGCCGAGACTCCAGTAAAAGGACATAATGTAGGACTTACTGTATATTCCTTTCTGTTGAAGACGAAGGAGAAAATAACTCACTACCACCAAGAAACACAAGTTTATAAAGGCCCGGCCGGCAGCAGAATAACGTCCCACCGAGCTCTCTGATTGGTCCACTCTTTGTTTATTACTCCGATGCCCCGCCCCGACATATGATGTCATCATGGAAGCACGTGATTCCCCCTCTGGAATGGGCATTGTGTTTTTTGCAGGATTGTTGCAGATAAAACTGTGAGAAAGATATTCATAGTGATTTACAAAGCTGCTGATTAAAGACTTTTTACTGATCAATCAGCCTTCAGATTAGCTGACTGATGAAAAAACCCACTTACATAACATATAAAGTATAACATAATCACGATCCATAGAATCTCAACAATTGAGCCAAGATGGCCTTATCTTTCAGTTGAACATCATTTCAGACTAAATTTGTTTCTCACTCTGGGAAAGTTGGAAAAACAGTGCACTTTCTCAAAACGACATATCTCTGAACTATCTTTTACCAAATCACACACATTTAAGCTATGTGATGTCCTTTAAATAATAAGTAATGTAATTTCTTCTTGCATTCACTGAGCCTGGGGAGGCCCACCTCTCACTTTGAAAACCCCTGCTCTAGACAGTCCTACCTGATATTTATTGTATTTTGTTTATCTTTTCCTTACATACACCGACTAGACCACAGTAGGCTACACCTACATCAGGAAGTAGGAAGCTCTGGAGTTAGATAGTCAACCTCTCTTTATCCTCATTGAGCTCAGGTGGAGTTTTAGACTGCAGAACTTTAACATTAAGGTTAAGCTGCAAAATGTTTCTGAAAAATACTCTAAATCAGTCCAAAGGGTGATTTTTGTGTGTCCATGATCAGCGACCCATTGTCTGATACTTGACCTGAGTAACCACTTTGTTTGATTGTGCCTCAGACAAAGCTGTGGTTTTGAAGGCTGTCAATGCAATTAAAGTGATTGTAATCAAGTTTAGCATTAAATAAGAGTGCAAAGGAAACCACATGGGAGAATATTTGTTTCTGGTTTAGATGAGGAGATAACAGTAGAATTGCCAAAGCATGTCCCATTTTCAAATGTAGAAACTACATTTTGTCAAATGTCCAAATATGTAAAGAAAGAAGAAGAAAATTGGTCATTTGGTTCATAAAAGTGATCACTATAAATTATATATAAGAGAGGTATTATTCTATCAGTGATGGCCAGTGTTTTCATCGTCAAAGCTGTGGGAGGACGTGAATATGCATCACTGCAGGACTTTCAGTAACTGCTGGGACAAAGTCTGAGTTGATGAATGTTGTTGGTCATGTGATTGATAAGACTGTGAAACTGTGAACAGACAGAGTTGTTTATGCATTTAGATAAAAAAAAAAAAAACTACTGTTTTTGGAGTTCCTAATGCTTTTCATTTAATCAGTGGTGGAAAGTAACCAAGTATATATTTATGAGGTATTTTACTACACTTGGATATTTGAGGCTACTTTATATAATATAATAATAATAATAATCTTTATTTGTAGAGCACTTTTCAAAAACAAGTTACAAAGTGCTTTAACAAGTGTAAAGACAATAATACCCAAGAGACAATAATACAAAAACAATACAAGATAAAAGCATGAAAACATTGAAAAGACTAAAATATACGTTTAAGATAAATATAAAATTAGTAAAATAGAATAAAATAAAAGGGATAAAATAAAGTCAAATAAGATCGGGAAAGGCTCTCCTATAAAAGTATGTTTTAAGAAGGGACTTAAAAGAGTTCACTGACTCAGCCGACCTGATTTCCTCAGGCAGGCTGTTCCAGAGCCTCGGGGCCCTGACAGCAAACGCTCTGTCCCCTTTAGTTTTCAGTCGAGACTCTGGAACAGACAACAGACCTCTGCCCGAGGATCTCAAGGTACGTGCTGGTGTGTATGGGACTAAAAGGTCAGAAATATAACAAGGCGAGAGGCCATGAAGAGCTTTAAAAGTGATCAATAGAATTTTAATGTCAATTCTAAAACATACTGGGAGCCAGTGTAATGAAGCTAAAATAGGAGTAATGTGGTCATATTTCTTTATACTCCTACTCCACTATGGCTCTTGGTCTTAGTCTTGATCTAAGTTCTTTTTACTGGACTATATCTATCTGACAGCTTAAGTTACTTTTCAGGTTGATGAGCAACAAATACAATTGTGTGCATTTTAAATAGATTCAATGTATAGTCAATGTATTGTAGTGTAGTACATGCTAACGTGTCAGTCATAATCATACATTAAAGCTGCAAGAAGGAATTCTTTTCAAACTATCTTTATTCCATATTTTCTAAAACTGTCACAATATCCTGACAGTTGTACATGAGACAGATAATTCATGCTGAGCAGGAGTGGGATGAAGGCAAGAGTCAGACCGGGAATCTTGTATAGTTTTATCTACTATCTGGCGGTGTGGTGGAGTTGATGCCCAGTATATAAAGCAGAGGAGGCTGATGATGATGATTAACAGCTGTTGCCACACTCCTCCACAACTGAGTGACACCACTCCTCCAGGGCTAATTTAACTGTGAGAAGCTCTGTGGGAGAAGAAGATACATGGAGGGCATCCAGGTGGAGGTGACAGCCATGAGGGGAGCAGCAAGGCAACTGTTGTTTAATGATCCTCGAATGGAAACTGGGATAACCCAGGACGCACTGCTACAACTTATGGTTGATGGGTGCTGACTATTATGTAACTGCCATTACCATGGCAAGATCCATCTGCACCTCACCAGGTACAATGATATAACCAAAAACTAAAATTTTGGGAACATAAAAATCCCATTTCTCTGCTGTCACAAACAACTTGTTCTCTAGGAGACGTTGGAGAACCTGGTGCACACGCTGCTTGCAGGGAGGGTCTTGGAAAAAATCAAGATGTCATAGGTAAATTTACAAGAGCCTGGAGCACTGCGGGGGCAATAGTTAATCCACAGGGCATACTCGTACTCGTACTCATAGTGTCCTAGGGGGCTGTTAAAGGTGGTCTTCCATTAATCTAAACAAAAAAAACAAACAACATAATTCCTGGATGTACTTCTCCAAGGCCTTCTGTTCCGGTCGAGAGAGGTTGTAGTGCTGGCTGTTAGGGAGGGGAGCCCCCGAGTGGAGGTCAACTACACAATTATACGGACAATAATGTGGCAGGAACTTGGCTTGAGATCATGAAAGTCCTCCAGAAGAGACGTGGATGCTCTGGTTGCAAGCTGTAACTAGGGCAGAATGCGAACAATTAAAAGGACAAAATGTGCCCCAGTACATGATTTTACCTGCGGTCCAGTTCATTTGAGGAATGTGTGTCTTACCCAGGGGATTCCTGGTACCAGAAGGGAAGTCTGATACTCTCTTGATGGTTACCAGGAGGGTGACGGGGCCATGAGCTTCCTGAGTCAACAGCTATTCCGTAGCCTTTCAGTTCCTTCAGAGCCTTTGCTTCCAGGTGAATGTCAAGAGACTCCATCGCGATTTTTGCCCGGCGACATTCCAATCTAAAAACCAGAGGTGTGGACTCCCGTCACAAAAATTATGACTTTAGACTCGACTTGACAAAATCAAAGAAGGCTTGCAACTTTGACTTCAAATGACTCGTGACTTCACTTGGACTTGAGCCTTTTGACTCGAGCTGACTTGACACCTCATGCCCAAATATATATTATAATATAAAAAATTCGCAGCGCATCAACATGCCATTAATTACATTTTAATCTCAATTAAGACTTTGGCTACCACCCAGGGTGCAAACTGGGGGCATGATCCATGCACTTTTGCCGCTGGGGGCTGCACAACTTTCTAAATTATTCTATCTCACTGAGAAAAGAAAAGTCAGGTCGAAACAGTGTAGAGAGATGCCGCAGCTGTTGCGTGAAGCTGCTTCCACCAATTACAAAAACAAGTTAATTAAGATAAAATGATAGTTGCGCCGTTTTGTTTCATAAATCCAGCGGACCCCTTTCCTTTAGAGTTGAGGCTTTCTTCCCTCCGTAAAAGCCCAAACTCCCTGATGTTTAATTCAGCTGGAGCCAACATGACTGGGGGTTATAACTGCTATAACTTCCTATTCAACAACTTAACCTACGGCATTTTACACTATATAAAGATAAGATAAAGAGTTAAAGATAAGCTGGTATAGTTAATGGGTGAATAGGCTAGATATTATTTATTCTAAACCAGGTGCGTTCAATGTTGCTTTACCTGATCGGTGCTTAAATATCCACTGTGTCTGCGTCTTCTAACGTCAAACCGATTTATTTATTTTAAGTCACTGCATCTCCCGACAAAAACCACGGTTGGATTTCAGCGTTCTGTAACGTAACTTCGTCACCTGCGACCTGCTCTGCTCCCCTACGTGTACACACACACACACACACACGCACATGCGCACACACACACACACACACAGAGCCCCCTCGGTGGCCCATCAGTCCCCTGAAGCAGTGTTGTATTACTATTTCTTATTTCATGGGCGATTTGGGATTTTGGAGTAGGCCTAATGCATATAACAAAATTACAATTACAAGTTCTATAGATTAATGTTTCCTTAGTCAATGAGGAATCTGTTTAATAAATATGATCTTTATTTCGACCAAAATACTTAGCAGCCCTGCACGAACATTTAATTTAATTCATTCAAATATAGAACATTTGTTGTTTGAAACTGCGCCTCTGCATTCTTTATGTACAATCTAATGCTTCATTCAATACATATTTTTATTTTTAACTTGAAAAAACTAAATTTGGTTAAGAGCGCAGTATGACTTGTTTAGGACTAGAAACTAAACGTTTAGGACTTGGGACTTGTTAGTCTTCACTTGAGACTTGACTCGGACTTGCCCGTCATGATCGGTCTGGACTTGGGACTAAACTTGGGACTTGAGTGCTAAGACTTGAGACTTACTTGTGACTTGTAAAACGATGACTTGGTCCCAGCTCTGCTAAAAACTCTCCTCCCACAGCTGGGGTCCTGAAATCTACAGCCAACTCTGCATCTCCTCCTGAGAAAAGGACACACAGGGCAGACTGACTCTCCCGTCCAGCAGATCCCCAGGCTCCGACAGCTCCAGTCATGGAGTTAGGCTTTGCAAGTCCAAGATCGCCATCATACTGTTCTGGGACAGGAACAGAAGACTTGGTACCGGGTGAGCAGCAATGGGGACCAAAGGCTGCGGGGGATCAGGAGACGTAGTGGACAACTGCGTAAGTTGAACAGTATGAGGGAAGTTGGTTGGTTTGTTAAGTGACCAGTCTGCTTGAATCTTCTCTGTGAGGGCTTTGAAAACACTGATTGGAGACAGCTTTTTGAATGTAGGAAATATCAAGTTGTACTTTTTATGTGGGGCCGGACAATTTCTAGTTGATATTAGAGCCTCATAGGACTGCTCATCATGTCATGGAACACACAATGAATCCATTTTTACCTGTAAAGGTCTGTCACATGATGAGTTGATGCGAACTAGTTGAGTTTCATTCTTGTCAGTATACATATAAGGAAGTTTGTTGGCAACAAAACAAGTCTTACTTGTTATTACCATATACATTTCCATAGTACTGTAAATATTCACGGCCCTTTAATGAACTGTAACATTTAAATTTTAGTTAATATTTTCATATGTTTTTAAAGGTCTGTCTCAAAACAAGGCTTTACTACCTTTTTATCTCCTGCATCACGCCGCTAACCTGGTAAATGTTAACATATAAACAGGGTAACACATAAACACATGATAACCTTCCTGGATGTGTCTAGATGGTAACTCTGTGAATGTGACGAACACAGGACTTTCACCCAGGAGACCTGGGTTTGTGTGAAACCAAAAGTCAGTGCTGAGGCTTTCACGTGTGGTTTGGTTGGGTTTGGCAACAGAACCACTTGGTCAAGTTTAGGAAAAGAAGATCATAGTTTGTCAGTTAGCTTAGCTTAGCACAAAGACTGGAAACGGGGGAAACAGCTAGCCTGGCTTTGTTGAAAGATAAAAAATCCACCTTCAGCTCTAATTAACACATTCTATCTCATTTGTTTAATCAATCCAAAGTATTATTGATGGTTGTGTGTCAAACATTGTCATTCTCAAGACCAGTTGCCAAGAAACAGCATTGTCTCCTGGAAGTTACTGGTCCAAATCAAGAAATAATGTAGAAAATGAGAGGTAGTGTGGGAGAAACTGAGTTGGGAAGTATGGAGAGTAAATGCTTTGTACTTAAGGGAAGAGAAGAAAAAAATAAATTAAAATAAAAAAAGGGAAAAAAGGGGGGTTAATGAGAGGAAGAACAAGAAAAAAGTAAATAAATAAATTAAGCAAAAAATATTATTAATAATTACATTAAAAATAGAAATAATGAAATAAAACATCTCTTCCTGCCTCCCTTCTCCTCCTCCCCCTCCTCCCCCTGAGTTTGTTTGAGGGGGTTATTGGCCCCCTTCAGTCGCCCCCAGGCCCTAGGGAGGGCATCACCCACTGTTTGTCCTGCACCTGGAACAACCCCCAGACCCAGTCGGAGTGGATCTGTTCCTGTGCTGAACGTTTATTTATTCAATCTTATTATTATCATGCCTTTACGGAGTTCTTGTGACTCAGTCTTTGTGCTACGTGTCAAACCAGCATGTGAGATAAACAGAGTACAACGCTCTGAAGAACACAGCTGCACATGAAATATTTTTTAGCAACTCTAGTTACTACATTTTAAGATATACCATGGTCAAGGAATTATTTTATGATCAGTTCTATTTATCTGTATCAGCTGAAAATATTATGCAGTGACACTGACCCCTAAATTTGTTAATGAGGGATTTTAGGGACACGATACAAAAACTCTTCATCAATGTCCTCTGATATAGCTTCAATCAATAGAGGTGACTGATGACTTTATGTTAAGCACCTTTCAGATATCAAAACAATGCTTTGCCATGTAACAATGCAGGGTTATTCAATTGTCTTGCATCATTATGTCATTACTTTTTTCTAATAAATTAAATGTTTGTTTTGATGTTTTTAGGAAAAACAATAAAATGGCTTCACTTTGCGCAGTACTTTATGTTCATCACTGCTGCTCATTAAAAACATGTATCCTTAATTGTTTTCATTTTGAATTTTTCCGGAAGAACTGAAATGTTGCTTTATAGAACATTTATGAAAATCTAACTACCTGAAGGTAAAGCTGTTATCAGCTCATAAATTTTACATTTGAGATACATGGTTTTCACAGGACAGCAACAATCCCTAGTGCAGTAGAAAAATACTCCAAACAGTAAACTAGTGTTTCACAACTTTAATTTATCACAGTAAAAGTAGAAAAACAATCATTTACAATGATGAAGCAAGTGTCAACATATCACCCAGCAGCATACACATATTTACAGAGAATAAAACACTCGACTAAAATCTTTCAGACAAAATAAAGTGGCATAAAACCAGCCAAAACAAAATGGCGCCATTTTCATAAAAACAGGGTTTCTTCACAGAATCTCCTGTTAATGTGTCGCTCTGACCGAAGACTCGTCCTCCAGCCAAACGATTGCAATAAAATCATTATGGTCCTATAAAGTGGAGCTGTGCAAAACGTTAAACGAGAGGATAACTGGCTGCTGTGGCAATGCCACAGTGGTTCTTTCGGTCTTTAGCCATGTAGATGTAGCCTTTGTCTCCCCACTTTTCACTCCAGCTGCAAGAAGACAAACAAAACAAAAAGAGAAAGAAGTTTAACATTTATATAATTACATCAGAGTATCTGCAGTTTTAGAACAGTTCAATTAAAAGCCAAACTAGCTTCAAAGACACAAAATTACAACTAATAAATTTTTTTTTTTCCTTTCCATTTTACAGATCTGTAATGTTCATGTTAAACAAGTTTCAGCTAAAATTCCAACGTAATTAGACAAAGTCACACTGCTCTTTAGTGCTCTTCTAGAGTGCTCCGTTTTCCAAACAGCAAAGTTAAATGCTTTTGACTGACCTGTTCTTCACGATCCAGTATCTTTTGCCTTCCACATCTTCTCCCTCAAAGCCGTATCCCACCACCAGCACACCGTGGTCCAGCTCCTCACTGCTGCATTCCTGCTCGTAGTAGATTCCTAAAGTAACATCAACCAATAAAGGTTACATATAAGCAATCTTAGCTGGCAGATGAAAGCAAGAAAATGTTTCTTTGACTTTGTCTCTGTTGCACAAAACCAAGAACTGACCCGACTGGTAGAACTGGAAAGATTCATGCCCGGCATCGATGGCGACTGAAACGGGTCCCACGGCGGCCACGGCCTCCATCAGAGCGTTCTCCGAACCGCTGGGGATGTCGACGAATCCGGTGGCGTTGACAGAGTTGTAGTTGGGGTCATAGTGACACTGCCCATCCTGGAGAAAGAAGAGGAAGGTTTTCATTAAAACACTTGCCTGAAAGTTTCATGAAGAGTTTCAATGATTAATGGATTAAAACAATTAGTCCATTGATTGGCACTCTTGACAATCGATTGTTTAAAGCAGAACATTTGATTTCAGTAAACTGAATATATTTTTGCACTGTTGATTTGACAAAAGCCATTTGACAATATCACGTTGTGCTCCAGGTTTTCAGATATTTTTCAAACAAACAATCAAGAAAATAGGAAAAAAAGAAGAAAAAGTTTTTCTACCAAGACATTGTGTACATAACTTGTTTTCAGTAGAACTTGATTTTATAGCAATTTTAAGTCCACTTCACATTTCCCCGTCCTCCCATACGTACTGTTCCCAGGTAAGGATAAGCGTCCTCGGAGTCCAGCCCCCCATTGTCCTTGACGTACTGGAAGGCCTGGTCCATCAGACCGCCATTGCAGCCCTCGTTGCCCTCGGGTCTGGAACAGTCCACCAGGTTCTGCTCGCTCAGCGACACCGGTTTTCCTGTCTTCCTGAATTGCTGACCCTCCAGAGCTCCGGTGGCACTGAAGGCCCAGCAGGAGCCACAATGACCCTGAGAGGGAAGGGGATAAAAGTTATACAGAGTTAAACATCAACCGTACAAGTTATTTTTGCTCTTAATCACTGCTGCATATTTATCATATTTCACATTCTTGTGTCCCTTTCTGATGTCGGCCATTTTGTTGCTGTTATTCTCTTCTGCATGGCCCTGAACCGCTGAACAACGTAGAGTTGATGGTGTCAGTAACGTTTTCCGTATCAGTATCTTCTTATTGCAGTTTATCTCCCTGACATCAGATAGCACTTTGCTTCCATAAATACAGTTATATAGAACGCTGTGCTCCAGCACTTTGAACCAATGTGGTGTTTCTGTTTGCGAGAGCCGATACACACTTCACCCTTATACAACCCTGTGTTGTAAAATGATAAATAAAGCTACCTTATACAATAAAAACAATTATATTCAGAGTAGTGGGTTGTTTGTGTGCTTTACATGGTGATTTTACAATTTGAGAATCCAGAGTTAAAAATATCTTCTGTTGTACTGCCTCGATGACTTTGAACAATCCTGTCACATGAGACATAAAAGCAGTTGTTACCTGGTCCTTCACCGGAGTGACGTAGCCGTTTTCCCTCCAGTCCACAGAGTTTGGGGCTTCCAGGAAGTTGGGCTTCATGAACAGAGATCCCTTGATCTTCCTCTCTGATTTGTACGTGTAGCCGTTCATGACCTGCCTGAACTCCTCGTTAGTCTGTGGAAAGACAAAGGTTAAGTGAGTAAACGACAGTAAAACCTGAATTAGGCTACAATAAGACCTGAGGAGAAAAGGCAACAAGCAGCTGTGGTTTGTGATTGTGTGTCTTTAGCAGCAGACTTTAATGGATGTAGTTCATCTAAACCTGATTTACAAATTCAGCGCTAAAGCAGATTATTCTTTAGTAAATGTCATTGCGGCTCTCTCAAATTTTACAGTTATTTAAGGGCTGCACGATTTGGAGAAAATGTCATACTGCGATTATTGTGGACAATATTTTCAGAATTTGCGGTTGTGATATAGGCTAAGGGAATAAATGGTACTTTGAGTCCACTAAGGAAAATGCACAAAAATACTGACATTTTGAAATGTATTTCTCATTTTAAACAAAGTTAAAGGAACACAAGAATAAATATACAGTTTTTTTGTCACCAGTCTAAAAATACTGAGTTAGCCACATTGTAAACAGCATTGTCCTGCCCCATCCAGACTGTGATTGGTCGGCTGACGAAAAGCGGCACTGACAAGTATATTGCTTTATGAAAAGTTAAACATGTAGAACAACAAAAGGCACAGATACAGCTAACGTTTAATGGCCAGCCAGCCAAACCCAAACCTTCCTTTTCTTACCGCGTCCCTGCCTTCATCTCTGTCTCTGTGGCAGAGCGACAGGTGGTGGCCAGTCAGACTGTGCACACAGCGACGAGGGTGTCACACAGAGCACACTTCTTACATTTAATCCATAGACTGTATATAAAGATGTAATCGCACAGGATGCGACAGCGATTAGATCAATCGCGCAGCCCTAGTTTTTATCATGTGCCACTTCAAAGCTATGTAACAGTGCCATTTAAAGTTTCCCCCGACTTTATTATCATTGTACGTCCCACACCAGATTGAATCTGTTGTTCTCATGTTTTTCCTTTATTCCTCGATTTGTGTTGGACAAGTGCTTTCTGCATAGCCTATTTATCATTTATCCTCAATTCGAGGGTACACGTTCACGATTCAAACCTTAGTCTTGTTGTTGTATTGTCTACTTTGCCACTTATCAAATCCATTTCCCCCGGATATGTGTTTCCAGGTGAGATATAGCCTAGGTCTGTGCGTTGACACCGGGGTCTTACCATGTCTCCAAAGTGGTTCATGCCCAGGCGGTAGGTGTGTTTGCCCAGGGAGTGCTCCAGGTTGTGCAGCTCGATCTTCTTCAGGTTCTTCTCCCACACCATTCTCCTCCAGCCCTCCTCCTTCTACAAATAAACAACCACCATTCAGACCTTTCCCTGATACCTGGCAGGCTAGAAAAGAAAGAAACAACACTTCACCTCATGATATTTCTTTGTGTGCCAGCTCTTCCACAGGTCCCAGTGTTGATCCAGCTGTCGGTCCAGGCTGGGGGCTGAGAGGGCTGCACTCAGACACACAACAAACACAGCTAGAGGCAGCATCCTGGCTTCCTACTGGAAAACAACAACAAGACAGCAAAACAAGTTAGGACTCACTGCTGGACGCCTGAAGCTCTGCCGAGACTCCAGTAAAAGGACATAATGTAGGACTTACTGTATATTCCTTTCTGTTGAAGACGAAGGAGAAAATAACTCACTACCACCAAGAAACACTAGTTTATAAAGGCCCGGCCGGCAGCAGAATAACGTCCCACCGAGCTCTCTGATTGGTCCACTCATTGTTTATTACTCCGATGCCCCGCCCCGACGTATGATGTCATCATGGAAGCACGTGATTCCCCCTCTGGAATGGGCATTGTGTTTTTTGCAGGATTGTTGCAGATAAAACTGTGAGAAAGATATTCATAGTGATTTACAAAGCTGCTGATTAAAGACTTTTTACTGATCAATCAGCCTTCAGATTAGCTGACTGATGAAAAAACCCACTTACATAACATATAAAGTATAACATAATCACGATCCATAGAATCTCAACAATTGAGCCAAGATGGCCTTATCTTTCAGTTGAACATCATTTCAGACTAAATTTGTTTCTCACTCTGGGAAAGTTGGAAAAACAGTGCACTTTCTCAAAATGACATATCTCTGAACTATCTTTTACCAAATCACACACATTTAAGCTATGTGATGTCCTTTAAATAATAAGTAATGTAATTTCTTCACTTGCATTCACTGAGCCTGGGGAGGCCCACCTCTCACTTTGAAAACCCCTGCTCTAGACAGTCCTACCTGATATTTATTGTATTTTGTTTATCTTTTCCTTACATACACCGACTAGACCACAGTAGGCTACACCTACATCAGGAAGTAAGAAGCTCTGGAGTTAGATAGTCAACCTCTCTTTATCCTCATTGAGCTCAGGTGGAGTTTTAGACTGCAGAACTTTAACATTAAGGTTAAGCTGCAAAATGTTTCTGAAAAATACTCTAAATCAGTCCAAAGGGTGATTTTTGTGTGTCTATGATCAGCAACCCATTGTCTGATACTTGACCTGAGTAACCACTTTGTTTGATTGTGCCTCAGACAAAGCTGTGGTTTTGAAGGCTGTCAATGAAATTAAAGTGATTGTAATCAAGTTTAGCATTAAATAAGAGTGCAAAGGAAACCACATGGGAGAATATTTGTTTCTGGTTTAGATGAGGAGATAACAGTAGAGTTGCCAAAGCATGTCCCATTTTCAAATGTAGAAACTACATTTTGTCAAATGTCCAAATATGTAAAGAAAGAAGAAGAAAATTGGTCTTTTGGTTCATAAAAGTGATCACTATAAATTATATATAAGAGAGGTATTATTCTATCAGTGATGGCCAGTGTTTTCATCGTTAAAGCTGTGGGAGGACGTGAATATGCATCACAGCAGGACTTTCAGTAACTGCAGGGACAAAGTCTGAGTTGATGAATGTTGTTGGTCATGTGGTTGATAAGACTGTGAAACTGTGAACAGGCAGAGTTGTTTATGCATTTAGATAAAAAAAAAACTACTGTTTTTGGAGTTCCTAATGCTTTTCATTTAATCAGTGGTGGAAAGTAACCAAGTACATTTACTGAATTTATGAGGTACTTTACTACACTTGGATATTTGAGGCTACTTTATACTCCTACTCCACTATGGCTCTTGGTCTTAGTCTTGATCTAAGTTCTTTTTACTGGACTATATTTATCTGACAGCTTAAGTTACTTTTCAGGTTGATTGCATTTTCATAAATTAAACTACAGTAACAACTACAGTAATAAAAGTAGTAACAGATAGCCCAACTTCAACCAGATACAGCATTATCATGCTGTTTACACTTTAATGTATCAGGCATAACAAAAGCTGCAAAAGGGAATTCTTTTTAAAATAACTTTAACTTAAAGACGGGTAATCTGTGAAAAAAAATTCAGGTTCCTCTGTCGTCTCCTTCTGCCATTTGCAAGAATCCACTGCGATCGAATCCAAACAAACGACCAAACAGAGCCAGGAGGAGTCTCTAACGCGGTGTCAATCACTGCTCGCGGACTGCGTAGCCTCCACAGTCAGTCAAGGTCAATGTCTTCGGCGTGCAGCTTCAGAAGTTATGTCTAGGAAACAACCTCCAGCAATGAAAGAACTGCCCATCTCGAGTGGCAGTACTATAAATCTGCAACATGTTATTCTTTAGTTTTTGTACAAATTAAACAAACAAGACATAAAGTATTAGTAATCTTTAAAAGGTTCAGGTAGGCAGATTTTGTTACATTTGAACAAAGCCAGGCTATCTGTTTCCAGTCTTTACGCTAAGCTCAGTTAAGCTAAGCTAAGCTAAGCTAACTGCTCACTGTGGCTTCATATTAACTGTATGTAACTCTTGACAACAAAGTAAATACATGCATTTCCCAAAATTCTGAACTACTGCTTTGAATATAATGAGAATAAAAATACTGTAATCAACCAATTTGACACCACCCCTTGTATGTTTTTAAGAGTTATCTGTAGGCCTACTCAAATAGGTTAATTGATCAAATTATACAAACCTCATACTAACAAATACATTTAATGCTAACCAGTGATATGTGACATGAATCTGTCCATGTAATGTTTCATGTCTTTATGTTGTCACATGCAGGATGTTACGTTAACATGGCTTTATACTTTACAGTAGGCTAAATATATAATTTCCTTCCATTTGCAGAAATCTGAAAGCGAGTGTTGAGTAAATATTGCCAACAATGGTGGAAGTATTCAAATGCTTTGCTTAAATACAAGTAACAATACGTAAATATTTTATCAGCAAAATGAACTTCAGTGTCAAATTAAAATACAATTAATTTGAAGTGGGCTTAGCGGACGGCTTATTCTGAGGACACACCGAACATGCAGAGATCCCTGTGTCACTTTCATTGTTGGCTATCAGAGCTGCCGACGTAGGAAGGCTAGTGTCCGATTTAGGCCTGTGAGACAGGTGTGTCGGGAGGAGTGGGTCCAATGAAGGACCTGAGAACTGCATTTTGCACCTACCCCACTGTCAGAGACATCCACTTCTATAACAAACTGACTGGTTGGATGTGGTTGTTTGAGGATGGTTGTGAGACAAAGCAACACTTACGATCTCTGAAGGTGAATTCTGCCTCAGGGGTCCAGCGGAAAAGTGAGGAAGTGAAAGTGAGAGCCATAAGGGGAGCAGCAAGGCAACTGTAGTTTAACAAATCTCCTATAAAATTGGCCGATCCCAGGAAGCACTGCAGCAATTTATGGTTGGTGGGTGCTGGCTATTCTGTAATTGCGGTTACTTTGGCAGTATCCATCTGCACTTCACCCTGTGCAATGATATAAATATAATAAAGGAGATCGTGGGAACATAAAATATAATTTCTCTGCTCATTCTGCGTATTGTACTTACTTTTGGGAGAGTTGAGGCAGGGGCTTGACTCGGGGAGCAAAGCCAGGTGAGGCGGGTGGACAGGCAGTCCAGAGGAAGTAAGTAAGTAGCTAAGCCGAGGAAACCTGGGAACCAGGAAGAGTTAAGTAGATCCAGCGCAGGTTCTTGCTGAGCAGGAGTAGGATAAAGGCAGGAGTCAGCCCACAAATATATGTATAGTTGAATCTAGGATCTGGTGGTGTGGTGGAGTTGACGCCTAGCATTTGAAGATTATCAGCTGCCGCCAGACTCCTGCACACCTTATCCCACTCCTGCAATACAGAACACACTGACAGACAGAGAGAAAGAGAGAGAGAGAGAGACCCCATGCTAAACCGAAGAGGCAGGGACAGAGGGCATGACAGACTGAAGCTGACAACGCACAAATAACAGAATGTTTTAACGGCTAAGGAAAAGTTTTTGGGAAATAAGCTTATTTGCTTTTTTGTGAAGAGCTAGATAAGTAAGTTAAAAGTAAGATTTTAAAATGAAGGAAGCCAGTGGAGAGAGCGCAGCACAGGTGTGATGTGGCGTTGAATGGATGACTTTTCTAAGCCCACATATAAGGAGTTACAGTAGTCAAGACGAGAGGTTATGAAGGAGTTAATCACCCTCTCTAAATCTTTGGGAGGGAGATAGGCCTTTACCTTGGCTAAAGTTCTCAATTGGAAGAAGCAAGATCTCACAGTGGCAGATATCTGTGTATCAAATTTAAACACAGTGTCTAATACAACACCAAGACTCCTCACAGTTGAGAGATTATTTGAACTCAAGCAGTTCAGGATGTCTATGACCTCTGTCTTGTCTCCATTTAGGGTGAGGAAGTTTAGGTTCATCCATGTTTTGATGTCCTTCATACAGTCAGGCAGGGGCTGCAGTGAGCCCTTTGTTTTAACATTCAGGGGCAAATAAATTTGAATTGTCTGCAACACAGTGGAAAGAGACCTCGTACTTCTCAAAAATGGAGGCCAGGGACAGCATATATAAAGAAAATAAGATGGGGCCTAATATAGAACCTTGAGGGACACCGCAAGTAAATGGGGCCATCTCAGCACGTATAAACTCACTATTATGTTATATGTTCTTTGTTTAGTTAGCACAAAAAACTAAAACTAAAATGACAAATTGCAGTTTTACAGTAAGTTATCTTCCAGGTTAGTTGTTTCCCCATTTTCAGTCTAGATGCTAAGCTAAACGGCTACCAGCACCTCTAAAGCTCACAACTTAACACGTCATTTATCCGCTGTTTAATCCGAAATCTTGTTTGTTTAAAAATAAGTGTGAAAATGACAAGTTTAACTTTATGTAGGGTCTGACTATTTCTTGTTCATATCCTCGTAGGACTGCTGATCATGTCACAGCACACACCATAAATAGCCTACCTGTGAACTTCTGTCACATGATGAGTTGATGCATACAACTATAGACAAACAGGATGAGTTTCATTCTTGTCAGTATACCTATAAGGAAGTGGGTTGACAACACAACAAGTCTTTTGCTGGCTACCTCACATACATTTCCATAGTACTGGAAACAATTCACTGTTCTTAACTGTACCAATTAAACATTTACTTAATATTTTCATATGTTTGTGAAGGTTTTACTGAGATCATGTGACTCAGTCTTTGTGCTACATGTAAAACTAGCATGTGAGATTAACAACAGTACGGAAGCCCTAAGCAGCCATCCATTCAAATATTTTTTTACTCTGTTTTCTCATGATCATGGGATAATTATCTCATGATCTCGAAATAACAAAACAGTAATTTAACACAAGGGTCAGCAGCAATGTTTCTTAATTATAATTTCAGCTTGATTTTCAATGTCACTAGTTAGCTCAGTTGGTAGAGCGTGGGACTCATAATTGCAGTATT